TGGCCTTGAATTCATAAAGATCCATCTGCTTTTGCCTACTGAGTACTGGGATTAAAGGTGTGCACACCATCATACCCAGTAGGGGCAGATGTCTTATGGTTAGAAAGGCACCAAAAGTATTAGTTAGCAAGAACATACTGTGGTAGTGCAAAGCAGAGCTACAACTAATATGTGGCAGGGCTAGGATTTTAAACTATTTTTTCCATGCCATCAAATCACCTGCTTTTGCAATTATGGTTATGTTTCTTAATATTGCCACCAAAAGCAGGTACATCTACATCACAGAGAATTTTAAGAATGCATATTCCTGAACTGCATTTAAACACCTGGTGATAAAACTCAAGAATCCACATATTTCTACTAATAACATCAAAGTTACTTTACATGAAATAGCACAAAAAAGAATGGATTTCACTATGATGATTTTTGTATACTTCCCTACCTTGTCTCTCCTCTCTATCTTTAGACCCTTTTCTTTCCCCACATAGATGCCACTTCCATTTTGTCCCATGTATATATTTAAAAACTTACGTACCTAAATTTTAACGTGAAGAAAAAATGCATTTGTCTTTGTATCTAGTTTATTTATCCTAATGATCTCCACTTCCATTTTTCATCTAAGTCTCATGATTTTGTTTTTCTTCATGACTGAATAAAATCCCATTGTGTGTATATGTGCTATGTTTTCTTTACCCATTCAATTGATAAACATTTAAACTGGTTTCATATTTTAGCTGCTCTGACTAGTGCAGCAACTGACCATGTGTGTGCAGGTGTCTCTGTGGTATGCTGATTTAGAGTCCATCTTGTATATATCCAAGTGCACATTTTTATTTATTTTAAATTTTTCTTCTAAATTATTATCTTAAAATTTACATATACCTTGGTCATGTTCCTTCCTCTTTCCCAATTCCTCTTAGCTCATCCCCAACTCCTTACCCACTTAACTTCTTGTTCTTTCTCTCTCTCAAATAAACCTCTAAAACCAAAAACAGGCAAATCAAATCAAAACAAAACAAAAAGACAGTAAAAAAAAATCAAATAGGGTGGGAGGGTGGGGGGAAGGGGAGTGCGGGAGGAGGGGAGGGAGAGGGAACTGGGATTGACATGTAAAACAAGCTATTTAAAATTAAAATAAAAAATGATAAAAAATAACATTGAAAAAATATCAAATATATATATTTAATCAGTTGCCACTGTCTTGGAAAGTTCAGATTCCAGCACTGGCAAATGACTTCCCTGTTGTTAGTTACAATCCCAAATAGAGAAGGAGAACTGTTCCGGATAAATCTAATTGAAGGATTACCCTGTGATTTTCTTTTTTCTTTTTATTGTGTATCTCCAGGATAAAATTTTCCAGCTATGATAAAATGTGTTGAGACTAAGTGTCAGTCCCAAATCAAATATGCGCATGAAATGTGTCTATACTCTAGTATACTTACCATCTACAGGAGAGTATGAGTGATGGGCCTTGGGGAAGTAGTCCAAGTAGAGTGTGGTTGTATGTGTGTTGGGACAGGATCTGTGCCTTATAGAGACCCCTGGTCTGTCATTAGTTACCTCTGCAAAATTGCAAGATAGGGACTTCAATTTGGCAACTTTTGAATGGAATACTATTCAACCTTTGGCTTTTCAAATGTTTGTTATGAAGACAAAGTAAGGAAGTGATTGACAGAGGAAGATGGTCAGAAATTGGGATAGGAACCATGAGGAAAGTCAGTTGTTTAATAATAACAAATCTTAGTTGAGTACTTTTAGTATCTGTCACTTGATATTTATTAATCTCGTTGTCTATTGAAATGTCTGCATAGGATATAATACTGTTATTATTTCCATTTTAAAATGGAGGGAACCAAGGCAGAGAGAGACCTCAAGTAGCTTGTCTGAGATCAGGTGAACTTTGAACTGAGGTCTAGGCAGATTCCACAACTTGTTCTCTTAAGGTGTCAGGTTTTCCTGTCTGTCCAGATCTCATGCTTGTAAAATTCCTAAGGCAGGGTACAGCTTGTCTTCTCAAAAGTCATTTTTAAAAAGTGAACTCTAGAATAGTAGAGCCTGTAATGGTTGGTGATTTTTTTAAATGACCTGCTGCATAATCTCGGGAATGCAGACATAATATCTAAAGGGCCTTTTCTTAACCACTGAGGCATATCTCCAGCCTAAAGGTATTTTTCTATGCAGAAGACTATGACAGGAGGAGTTGGAGGGGAGAGAGCAAGGAGGGAAATTATGTCATATAGTACTTATATGTGAAACTCTCAAAATAAAAATACAAAATAAATTTAAAAATAAGCATAATGTCTTAGAATAGAAAAGATGCTATTGGCTATACCAGATATCCACATTATCTCCCAACCCAGCTGAGGAAATTCCTTCCAAAGGCTCCCCTTAGAGAGCATGGGAAAACTCAGTTTGTCTTTCTTTTCTGTTTGCCTTCCTTCCTTCCTTCCTTCCCTCCCTTCCTCCTTCCCTTCTTCCTTTTGTCTGTTTTCTTTGACATAGGATCTTACATTGTAGCTAAGGCTGGCCTGGAACTTCTATGTAGCCCAAGCTACATAGTCATGATGATCTTCCTGTCTCAGACTCCAAATTGCTAGAATTAGCAAGAGCCACCACACCCAACTTCTTTGTTTAGTAACTATTCCTATGGCAACAAGAAAGGACTCAGTTTTCCTTTTAACTCTGGTCTCTACCCATTGTGGGTACTCTGAACTGTCTCATATTACAGCATTTCAGTTTAATTAGGGTGAAAAGAAAAGGTATTGTTCTATTGCCACTGGATAAATTCCAAAGTCGAGAAAGGTCTCTGAGTAGCCAAGTTTCATTTCCTGGAAGACTATGAGACAGGTAAGAATTCTTTCTGATTTTAAGTTTTCCATTAAAGGGGGATTCAATTCTTAATTGGGCCTTTCTTAACTTTCTATACTTAGTACTGTCTGTCAGGAAAGTTCCTCTTTCTGTATTTAAATCCTTTCTACTATATGTTAAGATCCTTCATTTCCCCTGTAGCCTCACTGAGGACAGAGAAAAGCTGATTGCCATATGCCAGACAAACTCATTTGTTCAATTTGAGACCTTCTTCAGGCAAAGTAGGCTTCTTGAACTTCTTAGAGTATCTATGAGTAAAGAAGGAAAAGTGACAATGAGGCCAGAAGTTCATGGCATAGCCTTCCTTTCACTGTTTGGCTGACACCAGGAATCTGGAACTTGCCCGTTGGCCATGCAATCACCAATGCTCACACATCTGCTCCTGTGTTCTACATGTCTCCTGCTTCCTGTCAGCACATTTGTTACAGGTGTCCTTTCCTTGTCCCTTAGGTGTGGCCATTTTGGTTGAAAATAGTACAGATTCACTGAGCCTTCTCAGTGGGAAAGGAGAATATACGTAACATTAGGAAATTGGGAACAGATACCTATCAAAAGGAACCAGATTCTGCCTTCTATGTTTTCAGTTTTATCAACAGTAAGGGATTTGTCTCTGATATGTCTGGTTTAGGTCACTATTCTCCATAATCATTTGCTCTACCAGTTGCTTTGCTTAACACCCTCAGATTTCAGTCAAGGAGACTGATTCTACCTCCTGGTCTTATTTTTTCCAATGTCTGTGCTATCTGTGAATTATATCAGCAATTCTATCATTTTTTCTTGACTGTTTATCCTGTTTTTTTATTTCAGTACATGATCTCCATAAGCTGTCAGCCTAGTCCCTGCCAAGTAACCCAGCCTGAAACATAATTCTCCTACATTAGGTTCCAAAAGTACCTAGACTACCATTATGCACCAGTATTTGTTAATTAAACGTTTCAGAATTCAAAATCTAGTGATGCTTATTTCTGGAGGTCTGGCTACAGTGGCACCCATTACTAGATAACCAATTAATTTGATTTCACTTGGTGTCAAGTACCAATGTTTGTTCTAAATTCCTGCAACTAAAGGTCTGGTAGGGTTGTGGATTATAAAATGTGAATCTGATGCTCCTAGGACATTGTGATGGCAAGTAAACCCAGACTTACAACTGTGCTTTGTAGAGTAAGGATTTTATTAAAGTTCTACCGCATTTCCCTATAATGACCAAAAGGCCTATGCCAATGGGAGGGAGATAAGTGAATGTGGTATTATTAATTCCTTTTCTTGTTTCTGTGAATAAATAACTTACGGAACCTTAAGCAAGTTTATTTTGGCTCACAATAAGAAGCTAGAAGAGGTTGTTGGAGTGTGAAGTCACATTGTATCTGTAGTCAGGAAGCAGAGGGAGATGAACTTGACTGCTCATACTTTCTCCTCTTTGTTCAGTCTAGCATGCCAACACAGAGAATAACTGGTATGATCTGCATTCAGGGTACTTATGCCCATCTCAATTAAACCTCCTGAGAAAGGGTCGTACAGACATGCCTTGAGGTGTGTCTTTTAGGTAATTTTAAAATCCACCAAGTTGACTGTCAAAGTTAGTTTTTATAGGGGCATAGAAACCAAAGAAGGCTTGGGTTTTGGTTGAAATAATATTTTGAAGAAGAAGGAGTATAGTACCTTGTTTATTACATGAAGCATCCTCTACATGGATACAGTTTGTAGCTATACTCTATAGTTTCATAGAGAGGTTGATACCAGAATAGGCCTCATAATAAGAACTTGTATGAATAAGAAAGAAAAAGTGGCTGTTAAGAGTAAATTAATCTATCTTAATTAATTTCCTATATCATTCTGCCTTTATGAGTTGTCCACTTCTCCATCTATCTCCATATCTATCTATATGTCTGTCTGTCTATCTATCTATCTATCTATCTATCTATCTATCTATCTATCTATCACACTCCATGCCACCTATGGAATGACACAGTAATCTGGCTGAATTGACAATATAAGAGAAATGCAGCAATTTAGAGGTAAGTGTCAGACTTGAATGGGGGAGGAAGAATTTAATGTGAAGCAGTCCAGAGTAGATGTTAGGACAACAGAAAACTGCTCTATTTTTCTACCTGTGTGTGTGCTTTTCTTTCCAGGGTTGCTGATAAGCTCAGGCTGTGCATTATATCCTTTAGGATGGAACAGCCCGGAGGTAATGCAAACATGCGGGAATGTCTCCAATCAATTTCAGTTAGGTAAGGTGGCATGGACAGAATGGCAGTGATGGTTTATGTGAAACCTGGCTTCAAGTGTTTACCTCTTGGAGCGTCCGCTCTGACTAATGGCATTTACCCACGTCTTTCATATATTACCTTGTAGGAGGCAGTGGGTTTGTCTGTGTTCCTTTACCTTTTTAAACTTCTCGGGGTTAGCTTTTAAATTCTGTTTCTTTAATTCTTTCTATATGTAATCTATACATGTTTATCCTGGCCACTGTAGATAAACTAACTATAGAAAAATTTGAAGTATTTGGCATGCAGACAAATTTTTGGTATGTGTTATTTTCCATCATTTACCTGAGGAGGAATATGAAAGAATGAGACAGAAAGTGAGAGATTTATTCTGAGAATTCATATTATCTTCTAGTTTGTATAGTTGGAGCAGAATATAAGCAATGTTAATAAGAATAAAGATGCTTTTGAGAACTTCTTATATTTCATGCATTATATTATAGCCAGTGAGGACAGCAAAAAGGAAATAGAACATGGAGCTTTTAGTTAATAGAATCACAATTTGATTCAGGTCCACATGTTTATTGTTGCACTATTTTCAATAGAGAAGAAAGGGAATCAATGTAATATCCATCAACATAAGAATAAATAGTGAAAATGAGGTACAAAATGAATAAGCAAATAAAAATGAAATAAAAAGTAAAACAAGAAAATATGGCATGGAAACACAATGGAGTTTTTCAGTCATGAAAATACAACAAAATTTTGACATTTTCAGGAAAATGGATGAAACTGGAGATAATCAACCAAACTTACAAAGACACATATCATATATTTCTCACTTATGTAGAACCAAGATTTGAATATAGGTGTTGCGATGCCTGTGTGAAGAAAATAAAACTAAAAAGAGAATTTTCAGGGGGGGGAGGAGGAGGTCTAAAAGGAATGAAAAAAGAGCCAAAAATGATAATGGGATGTTTGTAACCTGAAAGCAGGAAACAGAAGGACTGGCAGGGAGGAGGAAGATAGGATTAGGATATTAAGTGCAAAGTATATTGATGCATATACATTAGGAAATGTCCCAACGAAGCCTATTACTTTAAATATTAAATAAAAAATAACACAAGAAAAAACACTTAAAACATAATTTTTATATATCCTGCCCTAATATCTCCCAACGTTACCAGCAGAGATAACTATTATCTATAATATAAAGGTTTTAAAGGTTATATATAATCAAAATGGTGATTATACTATAAACTTTATATTTATTATCATATTTTGTACTTCAGACAACTCTGTGAGTTTGCTTTTATATACTAGTATTATGCTGATAAAAATTGAAAAAAAACTTTTACATATCTTTTCACCAAATAAACAAAGAACTGAGTATCAGTTTTTTGTTTGTTTGTTTTTTTCAAGACAGGGTTTCTCTCTGTAGCTTTGGAGCTTATCCTGACACTCTTCTCTGTAGACCTCTCTGTAGACCAGGCTGGCCTTGAACTCACAGAGATCCGCCTGTCTCTGCCTCCCAAGTGCTGGGATTAAAGGCGTGTACCACGAATGTCTAGCTGAGTATTAGTTTTAATCAAATATCAACTCCCTTTATAGTGCTTGGAAAATTCAGCCTATTTTTACACAGGATCATAGACTATCTAAACAAAAAGAGATTTAGCTATTATAGTTTGAGCTGCTGTTATTAAATATTATGACCTCTGATTTAGGAGTTGATTCAATGGATAATGTGCTTGCCATGTAAGCCTGAGAACCTGAGTTTAGATCCAAAGAACCTGTGTAAAAAGCTGGGCATAGCCATGCACATGTGCAACTCCAGTACTATGGACAACACGTGGAGCCAGACAGATCTTTAGAGCTCACTGGGTAGTATTCTTAGATAATGGGTGAGCTCCAGATACAGGGAAGAAACACTGTTTCAAGAATAGTAAATGGAGAATGATTGATGAAGATAATCCAACCATTGACTTCTCAACACAACACATATTAGCACATATTTACACCCTCTACATGGATGCACCTTTCCACGTGCATACACAATACACACACACACACACACACACAGAGAGAGAGAGAGAGAGAGAGAGAGAGAGACAGAGAGAGAGAGCACAACCTCAAAAGTCCTTCACCAGCATATTTTTATATATGGATTTCTTTTTTAGCACATAACACATAGTTATTTGGTCTTCTTATTTGATCACCTGTTTTCCTTAATATAATGGAATCTCTATGATGGAAGAGACCTTAGCTTTTTTTCATAATCAAGTGATAGTTTTTCATGAACAAATCTGGTCTCACCTCTTCAAGTTAAAGACAAGGAACAGGAGGCCCAGAAACTGATCACTCAGTCCAAGTTTCCTGACACTTCCGTTCTCAGGCTAGGATCCAAATGTTTTTCATCTGTTCTTGAAGGGTCAGTGATTATTGTGGTGCCAAATTATAGTGTTTTCCCTGCTGTGATGAGGAAGACAGTTTCTGTGAGAGAGAATAATAGAGGACATTCTTATTTCAATTGGGAAAAGATTAGGGAAGACCCCCCCTAACAAACTGTGATATTTTTAAAGAAGGAAACTGAGAGATTAGTATTATTAACAGGGGAATTTCAGGAAGAAGAGAGTTCTACAGACAGAAAAAGACAGTATTCTATAACGTGGGGATGACTTAGATGTTGAAGAACTGGAAGATCAGAATTCTTGAGGCTGAGTGAGTGACAAGGAGTGTAACAAACAACTGAAGGATTGTGAGCAGCAATCTGACTTTATAGGACTTTGTGTTTTATCCTACCTACAGTGTGAAGCCATTTCATGATTTTGTGAAGGAGAGAGACAATGGAGTTTACATCCTAGAAAGGGGGTTCTGACAGAGTTGCACAGAATACGGTTGAAGGTGGAGGCAAGAGTGGAACATGTCAGATGGTAGGATACTCTTAGCTTAGGTAGAAATAAAATAAAAACATAGGCATCAGCTATCTCAAAATAGTAAACTGATTACAAATAGAGTTTTCTTCATCAACACCAGATGACATGCCAGAATGGATGGAGAAAATCTCACAAGGCTCCACCCCTTCAGTCCCAAATGATCAGCCCCCAAAACATATATATATATATATATATATACATATATATATATATATATATATATATATATATGAGCAATACTAAATGAATGGGAGGTTGCATTTATATATTAATTCATATATACACCTGTATGTGTGCATATATCATAAGCATGCATAAAACAATAAAACTTTTAAAAGATCATGAACTTGATGGGGAGTGTTTGCTGGAAGACTTGGAAGGAAGGGAGTGAGAGGGAGATGGTGGAAATGAAGAAATACAGTTGTCCCTTGCATCCTCAGGTTAGGTTTTGTACTTTTAGATTCAACCAACTATGGAAAATTAAATTTGATAAAAACTTCACTTGTACTACAAATGTACATTTTGGTCATTTTTCTACAAATAATACAGTATAGTAACTGTTTACATAAAATTTACATTCTATTATATAAGTAATCTAGAAATGATTGAGATATACATAATGTGTATAAATAATGAACTAATTCAACTAAAGTCAGGGAGTTGAACATCTGTAGATTTTGCATGGGTTCCTAGACCCAATCTCCAGTAGATAGTGAGGGATAGCTGTGTATTTAAAAATTCTCAATCAGTGTAGAAGGTTTTAGGTTTGCTGTGCGAAGACAAGAAGTGGGAAGACAAGAGGAGAAACAGCTGTGGTTGGAATGGGAAGAAGAAAAAGGGAAACTCAGTTCAAATGTTTGTGAGATGCCTCTGTGTAGCCTAAATGCTAAAGTCAAGGAAGTGGTCTGCACATCACTGAGGAATCCAGTCTCAAGTTTAGAAATTGGGAGTTCTTAGCATATATATGATACACTTATAAGGATAAAGGATTGTGGTAATAATGACTACCATCTTGTGAAGGTGAGATTTATGAACAGGTGAAGTACTTTACAAGATCTGTTTATCTATGGGAAATAAGTAACATGGAAGGTTTAATCTAAGTCCTAGAAATTCCCAACATGTAAAATTGACCAATACAAATTCCTATGTGGCATTTACTATCCACATAACTATCTTTTCATCAGTCTTCTAGGAAAGGATTACTAGCCTGTGTCTTAGATGATTTTGTGTTGCTTTAGCAGATCATCCATTTCTGGGTAATGTATAAAGACAAAAGAGTCAACTGAACATATCAAGACATGGCGGAGAAGCAGAAAAGCAACTGAATAATTGCAAAAGGATCAGGTATAGGTGCAAGGACACAAGGGAGCAAAGATTGATCAGTTATGACAGACTGCTTTTTAGTAGGAACTAATCTGCTCCTGGAAGGTCTGAAATGGTCCTTTGAAACATTATTCATCTATTTGTGACCCCGCTAAGCCTCATCTCCTAAAGGTTCCCTTACTTCAACACTGATCCTGGGGACCATGCTCCTAGCACATGATTTTCTGGGAGACAACCAGTATTCAAACCATAGCAGCCTTATTGTTTGCAAAGGGTTTGTGTATACTGTCATAACCATCGTGAGGTCTTTGTATTCATTCTCTGATGCTAGATCGCTCATCCCCTTTCCACAATGATCCGTAAACCTTGAGAAAGGTGATGCAGAATAAATGGTCCATTTATATCTGAAAATGCTGTAGGCTAGTTTTCTCTGAATGAGGGGAGATAAACACGAAATCCTCCACTAATTGAGGACACCCAGTCAGATCTTAAAGAATCTAAATACTTCTAATGGAACATAGCTCTTTTGCATGAACAATTGCTATGTTAACACTTAATTCTCAGGTAAGTTCTGTAGCATCTATAAATGAACCATATTACTATGTATTCTCATAGTCTGATACACAGCATTGGCTTGTGAAGACAGTGAAATTTACACCAGGGTCTAAAGATGACTTGAGATGGAAATAGGAGGGAAAATGCTGGTTTATTTATTCTGATATATTTTGCATACATTTTAAAATTTCTTAGGAAGATGATCATATTAAA